AAATAACTAGTTCTTTTCAAAATATCTACACTTATTTCATAAATTACTTTAAGATTAAATTCCAAATGTACATAGAAAGTACGTAGCATTAATTTTTGTGGGTATCTGAACACATTGGTGAAATTTTTACGTTAGTTGGCTTTAAAAGATATAACACCTCTCAGACTTTCTGTACATATGAGAAAAGACTTAAGTTTATATTGTATCTTTAATCTGACATTATTTCCACAACACTGATAACCATAGTGAAGTACAGACAATGTGATTCAAGCTTATTTATGTTGTCTAAAAAATATATGATAAACGAAATCAAGACTCAAGGTATCTTTGATGGATATGCTTATAAAATCGGTTTTAACTGCAGCCATTTTGAAACTCAATATGAAAGTCAGTCAATCGTTTTCTAAATGGCCCCATTTAATTTGTTACACCTTAAAATGTAGGATTAACCACCAAAAATCAAGTCAGGACCTGTAAACTTAAATTTTACCAATCCTACATAGATCTTATTTTATTTTAAACAAAAGAGGCTACTCTTGTAGTGTTTCTGTGGTTTTTAATAGTCGTATTCTAACATAGAAAATATTGAACCGTGACTTTCTTTCTATTGTTTTTAAAGCGTTATTAATGTATCTGATTTATATCTGATACATCTTTTTGTAGAATCCATTATAAACAACAACTGATTACGTATCTTAAGTTTTATAGTTCGAAGCTTCTGTCATATATACATAAAATTTCTATTATTTAGGTTTATAATATACTTATGAATCTAATTTAAATTTTTTTTGACTGGGAACATTTGATATTTCTTTCATGTTTTATCAAGTTGTTATTTCTTATTTTTTAAAGAAATATATTCATATAATTTCCGTTAAGAGTTAACGTTAAGCCTCTTTAAAAAGTGATAAGCTCGTAGGTTGCCGGTTTTAAATAATTTTCTAACAAATCGTATAATTTTTAATTGACTGTTCATTCAGTAATTAGTTGAATTTCGAACATCCTGATAGTATGTCTAAACAAAGTATGGCTATGGCGAGCTTTTGTTATTCTTGGTTTTGAAATAAGTGTAACTAAAAGAGAACTATTTCTGGATATTAAGCAGATGTACTACCAAAATGTGTTGTTGATTCAGATATAATACAAGAATTAATTATTGATTAGTGTATATTGGAAGAATACATGAAATACTGGTACCTCCAGCAAAGAGCTTAAAATTTTTATTTTTATTTACAACTGACATCATGTGTTAATCAGAATCCTAATGTTCCTTAGAAAAAAATATTCTTTTTGAAAAGGAAACCTAATAAAATATTTTTTTCAGCTTCCTGTCAATATTTTTATGAATTACTAGTTAGTTAATTGGGTGGTAGCAATTAATTTGAACAGAAATATTTCCTTCATGTCAAACTGTAAACGAATTTGTTTGTAACCAAAAATCTAATATATTTTTGGTCTTCTCGACCTTTAAAAAATCATTCTAAAACTTCAACGATATCTTTTATAAATTTAGCAGAAACATCATTAATTAAATACAACACTTTCAATATTTTCGAGTGTAAACACAAGATGTAATAATAGTAAAACCCCCAAGTATTATATGTAGGTGAAAGTTGCGGTGCTAAAAGTTAAAAATGATTAATATAAGTAACCACCTAATCTAATAGATCAGTTACCACACTAAGTATAATTTACAAGGGAATATGTTTCATCCTTGAAAGACAACTTGCACAGTGATTAAAAAATTATACTTTTTAAGTAACGATTAATTAAGTGTGAAACTTAGGGACGAAAACCTTACGTTAACCCTATAATTGCAATAACAAACTATGTGTTTTATACCATTTTTATAGAGGATTTAGGCAGTGTGCTCAACACTCGTGTACTGAGTCTTCTGCTGCGACTTTGCTTAATTTGGAGACGAAGTTTTCACCAGATTTGCATTTTGTGAAAAAAGAAAGATTGTAAGACAATAGCGCCGTCCAGAAAAGAGCTTCAATTGTGATAAGTATTCATTGGTCATGGGGAAAGTTTCTGAATCCTGTTTTTGTTAAACTTCTGTAGAGTATGATGCAAAATTGTGTAAGTTTCCCATCCTTGGTTGATGTTTGGTATATTTATCTTTATTATGAGAACTTCTTTAATTTTCCTAACTCTCTGGTATCTAAAATCGTGTACTCGTTCCATACAAAGGAATACCCTATGCTGTAAATTCAGTCATAGTAGATTTGTCATGCTGTAGGATTCTTGTTGCATCAGCGTGTTCTTTTAGTCTCTGACCGATTGTTTTCCCCTCATTTTTTACTTCAATGAATAAGATACTGTAAATTACATGTTTCTGTTTCTTAGGATTACTAGGTTGTTCTGTCCTTATCAGGATACTTCGAATATTTTTGCAAGAGTTTTTAGCTTAGATTAGGTAGAAAAGGAAACGACTGATGTTCTCCCAAGGGGGTCAGTGGCAAGGCTTTAGGTTTTTAATTACTGTTTAATGAATTGCTTAGGGTAATATTAGCTTAAAAGGTCTTGTTGGTGGGACAGATCTGTTTTACACTTTGAGCATCACAGATCTCCCTGCTCTCATTAGGAAGCTTTAATTCCTCGTTTTACTGAAGGTACTGAAAGGTATTGTTTTTTTTATAAGTTTCAGTAAATGGCGTTCATGATGATGATTCAGAACGTCCAGGAAAGGCAGTAGATAAGCCTTCTTCAATATAGACAATATATTGAACATTTTTATTTTGAAAGTCGAAATGTTGGAGAAACTCATCAGTAGAATCATGGTTGTGTGGCAAGATGTCATCTAGTCAGTGTTTCCAAAATTGTGGCTCTAGTTTATTGCTTTTATAGTCTGTGTTTAAATTCAAACACGCATAGATCTTTGATGACCGACGAAAGTGGCAGCCCAAGACTGTTCATAAAAGTAATTCTTAAGTTGAAAATAGGTGGAACTGAGAAAGTGCGAGATGAGTTAAATAACAGGACCAGCAGTGAGATTGATTCACAAGCTCAAGCAACTATTTGTTTCAATTATTTTCTGACTGCTGTGAGAGAACTAGCCACTGGTATTTTAGTAAACATGTTTACAGTATCAAAACTAGTAAGAATATATATTTTTGGCTAGAAGCATCCTTAAGGCTTGAGAGAAAAGTTGTGGGGTTTGCCACTTGAAACATTCTGGGAGTTAGTCGGTAATAAAGTGAATATATCGCATTGACAGTTTGTTTAAGTAGGACGTCCTACTTTTGTATCATGGTAGGTTGTATAGGTGTGGAGGTCTGCATCCTTCAATTGATTGAAGTCATGTGGCTTAAATTTCCTTAGAAGCTTGGAGCTTTTGGTATTTCCTATCTTCAAGTATAAGCTGTATTTTTGTATAGTAGTCAGTCTTGTTTAATAGGACTGTTTATTTACTTTTTCAGCTGATAGTATTTTACTGACTACGTGTTTCAAGGTTTCCACAGCTTTTCTTTCTTTCTTGATGTATGTTAAATTCCGCATTGTCTTGAAGTAGTAAAAGCAAAAAATTATAATTCCTTAGCTTCATTCAGGATTAGGTCTTCTGTATTCTCTCTATGTAAGTAATGAAATCGAGAATGGGTGTTTGATGAGTGTTGGGAACAAAATTAAGTCCTAGGGAAATGACACCTTCCTCAGTTTCACTGAGCTGCGGGAAAGAAAGATCAGTTAGTTGAGTCATTTGCTTCAGGTTAATTTCTGTATATTTTAATTATACGGTCCAGTTTTTCACGTTGTTTCGTTCTAATTTTTGAAACCGAATGGTCATAAGTACTTTTAGAAACATCGAAGACTTGTAGAAAACTCTGTAGTGTTTAAATGATTCGAGAGTTGGTTCTTTATATCGTCTATGGTTCCTGTTATTTCTACTGCACAATTGAGTTGTGTACTCAAAAGCTTGTGGGAAGTACTTCAAATAATTTTGTCAATAGAAGACTAAAATTTCAACAGTTTTTGGAAAATAACATTTAAGCTGTTATAGAATTAAGTTTCTAGGTGCAAACGGTTAGATGGGAGCATGAATAATCCATCGTAAAATGATTATTAGTGCTTCGCACGTGATTTTTTTCATATGGTTTTGTGTTTGTGATGTTGGATTCTAGGTTGACGATTGAAACTATTGATTAATATGGAATACCTAGTTAGGTTTATTCCTGGTTGGTTGGATGATAACCAACAGCGATTTCTACAACATTGGGGGGGGGGGGACTAAATTCTACAGAGTTTAAACCCAACTCTTTTTTTTCCAGATTGAACGGACAAGAACATCAAAAGATTTGGCGACAACTCGTTTCGCTTAGCGCTGACACAGTCAGAATTGCTTTGTATTATTTATTTGTTCCAGAGTTCGGTCAGTTAGTTTATTTTTAAACCAATAAGACAGAAAATGCTAGTTATCTAATCGTTAAAGTTAGAATTAGTTTGTTAAGATCGTAAAGTTAGGGAAGTTGCGTTTTTGATCTTGCGTTTGGTAAATAATTAATATTCGTGTAAGAATGGGCTTAGAATTGTTTAATCTTTCTTGGTTATTGGATATTTTACAAATATTGTCAAACAATTCTAGATTTGTTTAAAAACACAGCACACACACGAATAATCATTAATGTTTAACAACAGCGACACTTTATACCAGTGAATATTCAGTTCGATTCTTGTATAAAGTTTGTTTTTCATTAAATTCTGTATTTTACTTTTCGCTTTCAGTGTTCAAGAGGAAGTTTACTTAGGCAAATGTCAGTAATGACATTACCGGTAAGCAAGTCACTATCTTGTCCGTTTATTTTCACCAATTTTAAATCCAATTTGTGACTGACTTTTGCATAACCTTCCTAATATGGTATTATTCGGTTTTCCTTTAAATATCCAGTTTTCACGCCTAATCACCATAACCAGCCCAGCTTGTCGCACACTGTGTCTATAACAACTGATTTGGTACTTTAGTTGGTGAATCGTTTTGTGCACAATCACGCCAAACATCACCCTAAAGGGTGTGAAACATTGATTTTATTCACTTGTTCTACACTCTAAATTTACAATTGAGAAAAAAACGTCAGTACATGATATGTATTTATTATGTCAGAGCAAGTGTAGTTAGAAAATAGTGGCTCAAAATAAGAATATATATAAAGTTTGAGATACTTGATTTGATATCGATTTCACGTGATAATTCATAAAGGACCAGTCAGACGTTATATGTAAATATATATATATACACAACAGGAAACCCTAACTTATCACGTGTACAAAAAGTATTTCTTATTGGCGGTGTAAAATGCTATTGCATCAATAGAATATCTAAATTTAAAGATTGGTATAATTACATATTCTTCCTTAATACGTACATTATTCAACAAATTCTAAAAGAAATATTTCTAACTTATACTTGATTGAACTATACAAACACATAAATGTTTGACAAGTATAAATGTTCATGCATACATTTCACAACAGTGAACATCTTTGAACAGATCATAACTTATTCTGCAACGTTTGTGCTTTCCTTGTGCCCTCCTTTGAATTTTTACTTTTAGATTTACCAGAAACAAAACTGTTTCGTTTACTCTTTTTTCTGTTATTAGCATAGTTTTCTATTGGATTCTCTGCAGTTTTTAAAATTGACGATGGTGACTGATCACAGTAAAACTTTTTATTCTCAACAGTTTTCAGTGATGTCTGGTGAGGCATGGCGTATCTTAACTTTTCCCAAAACCAACGTTCTTTCCACACAAGGTACGTCTTTGTGGATAGTAGGTACTGAAGGTCTTTGTCAAGCGCATCCTTAGGTGGGAGATTATTTCTAACTACAACAATCAGGCGATTTACTTTGTCTTCCAACGTTTGGTAATGAGCTGCATGAAATTCAATATGAAACCACGCACTTTCCACGAAATCTTTGGAAAGGATCAATATTATTCTTTTACTGTTTTGAACTGAGTAAACAATGTTGGAACTAATAGCATTTCCAGCCAACCAATCACGATCATGAGTACATAGTTTGAAGTATGGTTCCTTTGTTTCTAATTCTTTTAAAATATTGAAGGCAATGTCACTGTCCGAGCTGCAATATGAAATGAAGGCATCATACAGCTTGTTTTCGTCTAATTCATCGTGAGTGAAGAAACAAGTGAAAACTCCGTAAAAGTGAAAATAAAAGTAGGCAATGACCGTCTGCTTATTACGATAATAAAGCACTGAAATAGTGAACAATAACAGTGCCAATACCACGCATATTATTGAAACAGTTATTAACTTAATTTTTTGTGACAAATCGTTGTGTGGACACAAAACATTATCTGGTGTTTCAACAAGCGGAATTTTTCTTGATGTTCCATTTAATGTTACAAAACAATAAATATCCTGGATATCTGTAATGTTCTGCAAATGTTCGGTAAGCCATAATTTAAACTCTAATGTTTGACAGTCGCATTTCCATGGATTATTTCCAAGACGAAGTGCAAAATTCGATAATTTATCAGCTTCTTTAATCAGATCCATTGAAACTCGATTTAGATAATTTTCCCTCAAAGACATCAGTTCGAGTTTTGGAGGAAAATTCCAATTTTCGATTGAAGATATGAGATTGCTGTCCAGATATAATTCTGTCAGAGTTTGGTATACTTCAGATGAAAGTTCACTGAGGGATGTGAGACTATTGTTCTCAAAATGTAAAACAGATGTATTCTCCGGGAAAAGAAGAGGCAGCGTATCCTGATATAGACCACTACAGTTCACTATCACTTTATTATCAGAAGCTCTGAGAAAACAACGGCACAACTTTGGACAATTACCTTCTACAAGACACGTAAATTCTGTTCTTAGAACACTGGTTACAGTTTTTGTTATCAGGTTTGGTGGGCCGCTACAAACCAATTCATTTGAGCCATGGAAATTTACAATATGGCCATAATCGTCAAAACTATTTCTCAAATGATCAGCAAAATCCAACATGAGACAATCACACTGAAATTGATTATTCTGGAGAAAGAATACCCGAGATCCTGAAATATGCTTATTTGAGGAGGAAAATGTTCCATATGATGACATATTATTGTTATAATTTTGAATATTAGACACCGAAACCGTTCTAATTTGATTACCTTGTAGGAAGATATGTACATCATTAGAAGCTAGAAGTGGGATCTTAAGATGTGAGATTTGGTTGTATTTCAGATTTATTAATTTTACGTTTGTTGCCGCCACCACGCTAACATCAGGAAACGTTGTGAGATTGTTCTTTGACAAGTCAATTATCTTGAGATTTATTAGATTATCTAAATAATTATATGTCTCTAATGTTGTGATCTGATTACCTGTAAGAATTAAAGTCTCCAAGTTCTTCAACATTTTGAAAACGATTTCATTAATATATCTGATAAAATTGTATCCCAGATTGATTTCCTGCACACTCACAAGCATGTCAAAAATTCCTGCTTCCAGTTTTTGTATATCGTTTTTAAATAAATTAAGCTTTATAAGATTGAACTGTTTCCCAAATAAACCAACGGGTAACGAGATAAGGTCGTTAAACAGCATCTGCAAATTACGTAAATTTGAATTATTCTGGAATGTGCCAATGGGCAAATAAGTTAGTCTGTTGTTTCGCATTTTTATCTCAACCAAACTGGGAACCTGAGAGAAGAACGAAACATCTATTCTTGTTATGTTACAGTCATTGATGGACAGGTTCTTTAGATTTACCAATCCCGCTAACAGACCACCAGGAAAGTGTTTAAAGCTTGGGTTACCACTAAGCTTCAACTCTTCAAGAGCAGAATTTTCTCGAAAGAGTCCAGTTGGTAAAGTTTTGAATTTGTTGTTGGCTAAACCTAATCCTCTAAGTTTGGGAAGACCTGAAAATATACCTTCTGGTAATTCAGTAAAACGATTTCCAGATAACTCCAACACTTCCAATGAATTAAGGTTGTTAAATACATTACTCGGAAGAACACTGAGCTGATTACTGTACAAGTATATACGTTTAAGTTTAACAAGATTTCTAAAAAGGTTTTTTGGAAGGTGAGATAATTTGTTGGACCCTAGCTCCAAATTTTCTAAATTACTTAAAGGTTGAAAAATGTTTTCAGGCATAGTTTGTAATTGGTTATTAGAAAGTCGAAGATACTCGATTTTTATAAGGTTCTGAAAAATGTCTTCTGGTAAAAAAGAAATTTCATTCCAAGAAAGATTCAAACTTTCCAACGAAGTTAGATCTTCAAAAAGTGTGACAAACATTGAATCTTTTATTCTACTTTCGAATCTCAATTTTCTTACTGTCAACCCATTAAAAAGATCACTGAAACTTAGATTTGGTAAAGGACACTTCAAAAAGATTAAGTAATCAATTTCTGCCACATCAAGTTCTCTAAACATGGCAAACTTGTAAGGAGCTGAGCTATAACATTCGACCTTGAGATATTTATATAACGAGTATTCGATCCTGTAATTATATTCGATATTTTGACGAAAGTGTATATATTTTGAAACTTTGGTTGGCAAACAAGTCAAGTAATGTCCATAGGCAGTTTCACCACATAACACAGAACTGCAGTTTTTATCATAGTCCTTTCGACAAATAAATTCATACGACGTAGGTATAACTGCTAGAAAAAGCAGAATGATGTGGAAACAGGAAAAACGAACTTGCTTTTCAAACATGGTAAAAAGTCAAATATCCTCCAGTAAAATCCTACGAAATTAAAAGAAGAAATACATTTTAAACAGATTATAATCAAAAAGTAAAACATTATAAATATTTCTTAATATAAGCTCTGACATATGCAATACACTAATGTAAAATCTAGCAGTAACGTAGTTAAGATATTCTCTGGCTGACTTAAGTCTCATATTAGACTACACCTTTACAGAAGTCCAGGATGTTTCTACAAACTATTGTGATGGATAATTTTAGGATTTTGAGCTCATGAAATTGGAAACAAATCTGATATAAACAAATAAAGTATAAGAATTTCGTGGTACTCTCGAACAGTTAGGAGTTGTTACTATATTTTGGTTTCATACATTTGAATTACTACATTAAATAAGTGAAAATAGTAGTAATTTGTTTGAAACTCGTTTGTCTGTGATGAACTAAACTCTGAAACACCACAAACACTACTATGAACTGAACAGAGAGCTTTCTATATTTAAAGAATGAATAAATTATATGCTTCGAAGAAGTACAATGTTTACCACCATAACTGCCATGAGAGTGACTGTGAGCCTTTCACCGTAGGTTTCAGGATTCTGTAAATACTAAGTTAACGGTATCTAGTATTTGTGAAGGGAAGGCAAATGTTGGTATATGATTATGACCAGCATATCTGCTTAACTATGTTTAGTATTTATCAGTATATTATTACGAACAATATATTTAGTTAACTGTGTGTAGTATCTGTTAGTGAATGAAAAATATTGGTATATGATTATGATCAGCGTATTTGGTTAACAATGTCTGGTGTTTGTTAGTGGATGAAAAATGTTAGTATATGATTATCACGAGTATATTTAGTTAACTGTGTGTAGTATTTGTTAGTGAATGAAAAATATTGGTATATGATTATGATCAGCGTATTTGGTTAACAATGTCTGGTGCTACCACTCTCTCTTTGCCACTTTTTTTACACCTTCTTGAATAGTAACCTTCCTCATCTGCTATTCTTTGAAGATGTCTATCTTTCATTTTTTCTGCCCCACCACCACATTTCCCTCTGTTCGGGTCCTCGTCCTTTTGTTTTATTGTACTTTCCAGTAACTCTCTAAATTTCTGGCAGTTTTAGGACCTTCTTCATCTTTCGTTTCACTGCCTTGCTGTATTTTTTCTTGGTTTTCTCCTAGCTTCCGCACCTTCATCTTCTCTACTCCTTTCTTATTTTCGTTCTTCGTGTTCCTCTTATTCTCCATCTCTATTATCCCCATTCTATGTTGTTGTGCCACTGCTTCTCTTGGTATTACATTTACATCCAACAGCTTTTCCCTGTCCCTCCTTTGGAATACGATGTAGCCAATGTGCATCATATTCTCGTCACTCCTCTCTCTTTCGGAATCTGGTGTTTGTCAGGAACAAATCCATACTCTTTGCCATTACTTGCAATTTCTCTCCTTCCCCGTTTATTATTCCATAGCCTCTTCCCCCATGTGTCCCTTCAAACCTGTCCATATATTCCAAATTTATTAATATATAATTATGCCCAGTATATTTAGTATACTTGGTTAACTATGTCTAGTAGTTCTTAAAAGATAGTAGATGTTTGTAATACGATTATGATCAGTATATTTGGTTAACTGTGTCTAGTATTTATTAGTGGATGGAAGATGTTGATATATAATTATTTTCAGAATATTTGGTCAACTGTGTTTAATATTTTTAGTGGATTGTAAGTTTTGGTATATGATTATGACCAGTATGTTCAGTTAACTATATCTAGCTTATATTAGTGGATGAAAGGTGTTGGTGGATGATTATAGCCTGTATGTTTGGTGAACCATCTCTAGTGTTTGGTAATGCATGACAGGTATTGGTATACGATTATGACAATTACACTTTGTTACCTTCATCAAATATTAGTTAGTGGTGGTAGGCGTTTGACCAGTATCTAAAGATGACACCAGCATATTTTAAGCTTGTACCTCAAAATAGAGGAAAATAAAACAGGTAATTAATTTATGTGTATAGATTTATTTAAACAGGAATTCGAGCGATTAGTCTTTCATACATGTTGTTAACATCCTCATGCTAGACAAGGTTTATCTATTGTTGAAACCAGAGCTCTCTAAAATATTCTCCAAATCAAGACATGTCATTGCACTTTTTAACCAAGTCATTGCAGATCATTTAATAAAAGTCACTTTTAATCGTTTGTTTCATTAAAAATTCTAAATAATCACAGAATTATTAAATTTACACCAGGTCTTGATCATCACGACCTTGGGAGGCTCATGTCCTCCTCCTGGTTACAATATTTCTTAAAATGACTTTCATTGGCTGTTTTTAAAACCTAGATTCTGATTGGCTCCATTAGTTATGCAGCCATCCTAAAAATCCTTGTTAAACTTTGTAAGGAAACACAGCTCCTCTTCACTGTTACTGTAGTGGCAGAAAGTAATTCTAGAGGTAAAAAAAGAGCAAAAAGGTATAACTACTTTGCTTCACACAGTCAGATGTTGTCTCAACGAGTGGCATAGAGCAAGACAAGATTTGTAAGCATTTTGCTACCAAAAGTATAATGTTTTTCAAGGATATTAGAGCAAAAACAAAGAAAATGTAGATATTATATTAGGCCATAAAAAATTTTTTTTTATTCAATATATTTGAGGAACATGGGCTTTTTGTCCTCCTCTGAGAAGCTATCACTGATTTCAAAATAGTGTGGTAAGCTATATTTTTAATGCTGTAATTTGTCTGTTACTTAGAGGATGGCTCCCCAGTGGTGATATGTCTTAGGACTTACAATGGTAGAAACCGGGTTTCAATACCCGTGGTGGGCGAAGCACAGATAGCCCATTCTTTAGCTTTGTGCTTAGTTACAAAAAAAAACACAAACCTAGAGAATGCATGGTGTTAGGATTGGCCTAGAAAATTTTAAGATGCCAAATGTTTCTCGTATATGCATAATAAATTATAAATATATGATATTTGTGAATATTTGCTTTCAAGACTCAGTCAGTGTTTTGTCGTGAAGTATTTGGTCCTATGTTACCTATCACACTTATTGAGTTTCTTTGTACAAGTAAGTTGATTTTACCTTAGCCCTAGTATTGTTAAATAGGTTTGAACATTATTTGTAACGTAGGCTAAAAACAGTTTACAATGATGTAGAAGTGTTTGAGTTTGTATAAACGTTTACCAAAGAAATAAATTAAATTGTTATAGCTTACAATTTACTTTAAATTATTTTTATCGGATAATTTAAAAATTCACCAACGGAAAAACAATGTTACAACACTAATAGCAAAAGTAGGATATTCTGGTGAAAATAAAATAGAAATTTGAATATACTTCAACTTTCATTCATGATGACCACAAGGAAATAAACTGAGATATGAAATCTGTTAGACACGATAAAATACTAGAAAGAAAAGTAAACAGCAAGAAACAGTGCATTTAAAGAACAAGAAGAGAGAAACATAAAATTAGAAAAAAGATGGGAAATAGAAAGCTAAAAGAAGACCAGTGTTGCGTATCTGCTTGTTTGTTAATTTCCTGTGGAAATACTTTCCGAGAAACTTCAGCAATACAAGTCGTTTCTTGATTAAACTAGTTTATTTTTTTCTCGATACAAACTTTTAATACACGGTAATTCCACAATCAGTACGTTTCTCGTCACTTTTAACTATAAGTCACAGCGATTCACAGTCTCGATAACTTTTCTCTCTACGAGTACAGACACACACTTTATAATACCGTCACTACTGTTCGCTTCTTTAATTATCTGTCTATCGCTGGCTTCTCTGCCAGGCTTATATACCAACGATATACTCCCCGATCATTCATGATGATTCGAGAAATTCATCACGAGCCACCAGCGTCACGTGACTTTTGCTGTCGTAACACCAGGAAGAAGAAGACAGAAAATTAAAAGAAAACCAAGAAGAAATTTAAAGAAAATTTAAATATAACAATGAAGAAAGGTAGAAAAATAAAAGAAGATCAGGAGTTAAGAGATGGAAATTTAAGAGATGAGTTTCAAGAAAGAGACAATATTTAAGAGAGCATTAAAATAGAAAATGTATTCAATTTAAGAAAAATCTAGAAACAATTGGAGATGTGTATAAAAAGATTACAACAATAAGATCGAAGAAGTATGGGGAGACTGTAATGACAAAATTGTAGAAGTCAAAAGTGAGGTACAAAATGACATGAATGAAGTAATTCTCAGATATCACTCAGACAATCAACGAGGTGGAAAAGAGCACAAATGAGTTTGAAAAAGAATGTTGGTGATGAAATAAAATATCTGTAAAATGAATTATTAAACTTAAAGAATAAACCAGTCACACCTCTTCTGTATTAGCTGAAGAGTGCCAACTGAAAACACCATATATCACCAGGAATGGAACTTAACTGCTATACCACCTGTTACTGAAGGAATTTCCTGGACTACTCCAGCCATGACAGTACCAAACCAACTTCCAGCATTTAGCTGGCCAATTCAACATTGACCAGTCAAGAAATCAATGGACCATTATGGGAAGATACTACGGAAGTCATACCAAGTTCAATTTGAAATAATTTACAGAGTGTATGGGAGGACTGGTGGACAACAAGCCAATCCATATTGCTGCCACTTTAAATATTCCAGCTTTGACAATATTAAACAGCCTTCCAGATGTGAGCCATAACAACTATTACGAATTGGTATTTACCTTATCCAACAAGTTTAGAGTGTTGCACCAGATAAAAGTATCCAGAGCGAAATTCTGCAAGAGAATACAGGGCTCCTCTGTGGGTTTTTCGCATGATTACCATGGGTTTAGATAAGCCTGTTTATCGCAGTGCAGATCATTCAATCAACATGAAATTTAAATGCAAATGTGTAGGTACTAGAGGAAACGTCCATTGTGACGCTGATACAATGCATTCCAGACGCTGCAAGAGCACATTTTAACCAGTTACTGTGATTGATCAGACATTATGTCACAGTGACGTCCCTGGTGGCAACATGTAACAACTGTAACACTCCTGTGTAATTTCACCTTCCTATGCCATACTGTTTGTGAGATATGTGCACTGAACTGTCAAATATTCTTTATAATCACTTCATATTAGAGTGCAGTGATTCTTAACCTGTGTTCCTACCAGTGCAGTGATTCTCAACCCGTGTTCCGTACAAATGCAGTGATTCTCAGCCCGTGTTCCGTACAAATGCAGTGATTCTCAACCTGTGTTCCTACCAGTGCAGTGATTCTCAACCTGTGTCCCTACCAGTGCAGTGATTCTCAACCTGTGTTCCTACCAGTGCAGTGATCCTCAACCTGTGTTCCTACCAGTGCAGTGATTCTCAACCTGTGTTCCATACAAGTGCAGTGATTCT